ACGCAGCTGACTCTCAACTTGCTGTTCACTCAAGCTTAAATGATTTTATTTTTTTTTTCTCCTTTAAACAAGCCATTTGCAGGGATGAATTTTGTCGTACTGTCAGTACCAATAACCTGGGCAAAAGGCTGGGCTGGGAGGAAGAGACAGAGATTCCCCGTGCAGCTCACGGGAGCCACTGCTGACAAGCAGAGTCGCACGAACCACAGCAAGCAGCGGGTGAAGGCAAAGGCCGTCTCTCCTGGCTAGAAAACGTTTCTCAGTCCTTTTCAGCTAGTGGCTTTCCAGCAAAGTAATGTTTGAACAGCACCAGGCACTCTCCGAACCCAAATATTCCCTGAAGGGAGGTGAAAGATGTATTGATCTCAGTTAGCGCAGTCATGAGAGCGAGCCTGCCCACACCCAGCCTCCCGCCGCGAGCTCCCGAGGTACCACGAACTCCTTTGATCCTGCTGTAACCCTGAAGCACAAGGTGACCTACTTTCTTCCCCACTGTCGGCAACCCAGCTAGAAGAGACTCTTCACGAAGAGTTCTGGCAGCAATGGTTTCCCTTCTCCTACCTGGCTGTCGAACCGTTCAGCTGAGCAGCTGCAAGATGGAAAGCCAGACTCATGCAGACAAAGGAGGAACAGGGCACCATCGTGCCTTCCATCCCACGGCACCAGCTCTGCTCCTGCCGCGTCCTGCGGTGCTTCCCTCAGATGAACAGATTATACACGGGCCTAAAATAGACACTGATGAGCAGAAATTCCACCAATATCTGCCTCATGCTAGCGGAGACATTTCCAAACACAGAGAGGATTAAACTATGACAAATAAGACGACAAAAAGGGCTGAGAAAGCACAGAACCATCTCCTCGAAGCCTGTTTATATGAAAAATGCAACAGCTCCGTGGTTGCATCTGAGATGTCAACCAGTTCAAAGGGAACAGATGAGTTTGTTCCAGAGCAGGTAAGACCTCAGCTTGGCTCCCACTCATAAAGAGACGTTACAAGAGGCTCAAGACATATGCTCTCCAAGGGAGTCTTGCCAAAATTAAACTGATAGTAGAAATGGGGCTTTCATGCTACTATGTATTCGTACATTTTATTCAAAAGAAATCAGCAGGAGAGTCTTGTTGCCACAGAGCAAGCATTAGTCACTGCACAAGACGACTCCTGCATTGCAGAGGGCTTTCAGTTTGTTGGTGTTTTTTTTTTTTAAATCTCTAATGCTTACTAACAGAGATATTAAATGCCAGGTAACCTGTCAAACTGAGCTATGAGCAGCTCTGTGACACTACACACCGTCTCATTTCCCCCATCTTCACATTTAAGCACCTTTGACTCAGCTATCTCAGATATTTTTTGTGTGTTAATTCAAACCAAGAGGTTTTTCAGGACAGACATCATCTCTCACCGGGTGCTTGTGCAGCATCCAACGCAGCTAATGCTAATGCCAGCGAGTCAGATCGGAGCCCTTTGTGGCCAGAGATCAAGGAGCAGAACATCAAAGAGTACCGCAGGCAGGATCAGATACCCTGTCAAAGCCGTACCAAGGAGTCTCTAATAGCGAGAGGTTTGTTATCCATTAATTAGATCTTACTCCATAAACAGCAAGGAAGAAAATTGCATCCCTAGGAATACCCAAGAAAACAGGAACTAGCTTTTATATACACACTAGAATGAGAATTTTGAGACATCACCAGCAAGATTCAAGAACAGTTAGGTATGCTATGAGGCTGGAAGGGCGGTGGGATCCAACCTGGTGGCTGGAGAGCGATGGCACGGCAGTTACCACCACGCTTTGCTCCAACAAGCTTGCCTGCCAGCCATCTGCAGGGATGGGGATTTAACGTGGCTCGTTTCCAAACGATGGAAACGCCTCTATGATAGGGTTAACGCACACTGGGAGGACAGAGCAGGTATAAGCCTGCTCCCCAAAACCACCAATTATGCTGATTTAAAAAACCCATCAAACCCCATTATCTCAGTTCACCCAAAGCAAAAAGAATCTCAATTACAGGACCAGCTGGTAGAACAACAGGTCCTTGCTCAACCACGCTCCCCAAGTGCTACAGTCCACTCCAAAGGTGGAAGAGGTAAAACACTGACTGTTGTCCATCTCAGGAGCACCTTACAGTCTCTTCAAAATGGAAACAAACCAATCAAGTCCCCAAGCTCTAGCCTTGCTTTCATAGCATCACGTCTTCGATGTAGCAAATGAGTTTGCAAGACAGCACACACCCCACAGGACCCAAGCTCTCCTGTGAGTCAGAGCATCTGTAGGTGGGAGGCCCTCGTATGCTATATGCTCATTAAAAGCAAGAAAAGCAACTTAATGGTCCACAGCACGATGCAGTACTGATGGAGTCCAAAAAAGTTTGAAGATGGCAGCATCCAAATGAAAGACTCACCAGGATTTTCACTTGGGGAAGTAGCCTTTGGGTAACGGAAAAGGGCTGGGGGGGGGGTGAAGGGGCATGAAGGTGAGATAAGCACCTCAGAATCCCAAACTAAATACACAGCTGTAATACAGCAGTTCTTTCAGAAAGTTATTTCTCCTTAAATGTAGAACAACAGCAAAGACCACAAACGAACAAACCAAAACCCAACAACAACCCAGTCCAAACCAGCCACCAGTGAAGAGATGATGGGGTACAAAGTTATCACGATTTCAGACAGCTCAAGGCCTGGACTAGCAAAGAAGTCAAAAAGATGAGGACCAGGTATATTTCCAGAGTGACCATGCTTTAGATATCAATAGCCAACTGTCTGGGCAGCAGGAAACCACGTCAGCAGAACTGAGAAGTAAACTTTTACTAGACCATGGCTCAGTCAGCAGCATCAGACTCATCTTTCCATCAAAACGTAGGTTGGTTTCACGCACAGCACAGCCATAATAAAAACCTGCTCCTCCAACTGACAGTAACAGCAAAAGAGGAGGAAAAAAAATGCTGGAAGTACAGCAAAACTAACTGAGATTCTTGAGTTTTTACCTTTTCTCAAGCTCCTATTTCAGGACAAACATACGTTGCTACAAGGAACCTTTTCAGTTTTTATGCTCTGAATAGGGACTGCAGGCACAAATCTGCACCAGCAGTTTCAAATGAAGTTTTACCCACGTACTTTTGCCCTTGTGACCCTGATATTCTGGTCTTCTCATGGTTATCAGAGTTGTCTTTACTCAAAACCTAAGGTTCCAGTAGTCACTTGCAGATCTGTAGAGGCGAGTTTCTTGCACTGACCTTCTGAAGGGGCAGAGGCCAAGGAAGTAGTTGCATACTGGTATTTGTCTTTATGCCAGCTGAGTATCCACCTTTAACACAGCCACACCAGTTAACCCAGGAGAAACCGTACACTGAAGATGGGGAAGGAGGCACGATGCTTTTGTCTTCTTCCAGGTCTCTGGCATAAATGCTCTGTTTAGCTACGCAGCAAGTTTGGAGGACTCGGAGGTCTAATTTTCATAGATCCCTGCTGAATTTAGCAACTTGGGTTCATGTTAGGGTAAGACAGTGGCAATGAAAAATACACAAAAATTTGAAGTAATAACGATGTGAGAGCTGAAGGCAAAACCCAGAAGCTGTGGCTGTTAAACACAGGAGGCTAACTGCCCCTGCTTCCAAGGCTCATCTGCAAGCCTGCTTCCCAAACCAGACAGTGGGCAACTGCCACGGGAAACCACCCAGCAGCAAACCCTGTGGCCTCTGGTTACAGCTGCTGCGTTCCAAGGAGGAACTTGGATGGTAAGGTGAAAAAAAAAAATAAAAATGAGACAAGCCCTTCTGGCCGCCTGCATCTGCAGAGAGAAAGGGTCAGTGCTACTGCAGCCACAGCTGGCACATGCCCCTTCAGAGAAGAGGGGCACAGAGAAGCCCAAACACCCAAAAGGCACAGGCATCAGCGCACCATTGGTGGTGTTATCCAGGAAGCAAAGGCTGTAAGCTCCTTCCGTAACTGCACAGTCCATCCCTTCCCTTTGGAAGCAGGGGGTTTGAGAACACTTTGCACAGACCGAGCGGAGCATTAACCAAATATTGTACTTCTGTCATCTAAGAAATCAGCTTGACACAAGCACACAGGAGGTGGCTTGTGGCTACCAGTGACTGAAACCACGGAGAGAGAGGGGGCAGTGAAGGGAAGGCCATTTCTTTTTACTACTTCTGTTCCTCTGGAATTAGGACTGTCACTTCTCTAAGAACTGTTTACTTTTTCCAGCGTCTCAATAATCTCCTTCCCCGCATCTCCAGCCCAAGCCCTGTCAACTGTTTCCAAACCCAGGTATTCTTACAGCACAAAGTCACATACAGTGCGAAAACAGTTGCTTATTCTTGTGACTGCTTTAAAAAAAAATACTCTTGGGGAGGCATTTGGTGAGAGAGGAAAAAGGTAGTCACCAAATAGGTATTTTCTAAAGAACAAGACACTAGTCAAATTATAAATACTGAACATTTATTATTTTTCTCATAGGAAGGTTGCAAGATTCAATTTCAAACAACAGGGTAAGGTCTTTTGTTGCTGTTGGGATTTCGTTTGTTTCATTTAAGGGGAAAGAAAGAACAATGAGAAACTCGTGTAAAGATACTACCAGAAGCAGTGCAAATTCAGATTAATTTCTTGCTTACCTTTACCATCCCAGTACTGAACTGGCAAGCTAAGCCCTTCCCAGTTAAATAAAGTCTGCTTTGACATCACCCAGTTTCTTGTGCATCATTGAACAAGAATCACAGCCCCTCCCTTCCTTCACTCTCCCCCTCCAAGCACACACCTCGCACAGCCACAGCCTTGTGGGGACAGGGAAGCCCGGAGAAAGCTGAACATGGTGACACTGGTGAAAACTAAACCTGCACAGAACGAAAATTAACAGAACTTAACCCCCGTGACCAGCCGTGCGCTGGGCAGAGATACCCCTAATGCAGCTCAGCAGCGCCGATTTTCCAGCTTCCTCTCACAAACACGTTTTACACATCCACAAAAAGACCAAAGAGGAAAATCATACAATCCAAGAACACTTTACTTTCCGTTTCCAACCAAGGAAGGCAAGCTTCTCCACAGGAATCACCGACATCTTTCCCAAGTCCGTTATGACGTATCTGGGAACGGGAGGCGAGTCCTGCCTCGTGACAATTGCTCACCAGGGGCACAAAAAGATTTGTCAGAAGTACCAAAAGCCACCAGGACAGTCGCCAGCAGCAGTGCCCGTGGCGTTGCGCGCCGGCGCCGCTCACGCAGAGGCGCGGACCGAAGGTGGCACATGCAAAGTCCCGTCGGTTCCGTGGCGCGTCTCAAGCGGGAGGCAGTCGCTGGGGCTGCTGGACCCAGGGCTTCCCACCAGCAAATCCGTTAGAACGTGATGCTGGCAAGACCTGTTTGAAAGGACAAGAGGGCAGGGGGGAGAAACAGAGCTTTATTCTTATACCACCTGTACTTCAGGACTGTTAGGACAGTTAAGACACAGGAAGAAGGATGCTTTGAGAATTTTCTTTTTCTTTTTTTAAACTTAAATGTAAAGGATTTGGTGAGAAGAAAGGAAATTAGGAAACAGGTTGATCTGTACTTTAATCCTTTTTGGACTGTGATGCAGCAATTAATTTGAATAAGCCAATCTGAAGGAGTACTGAAGTTATTCATGGCAGAAGGAACAACACAGGGGTTGCTGATGAACTAAGGGTCCACTCATGAAGTTAAAAAGAGAAAGCTGGGGAAAGTACCATTTGTGAGGGCAGAAAATTCATATTGGATAAAGAAAAATGGCTTTAGATTAAAGTATATCCATGTATTAGACATTTGATTATCTCCTTTGAGATTTGTCTTTTTTGATTTCTAAGATAATTCTGCATCACTTAACCTCAATACCCAAAATTGTCCTAAATTCTTCTCTAAACACAGCAAAGAACAATGCTGGAGATCCCAGGAATACTGATTACTATGAATAGGTGAACTTTTTGGCACTGGTTTCTCTGGAAATAAGTTCTGTATTACAGTCATTGCTTTTTAGCCACAAGGAATCAAGCAGAAAATGTGCATTTCTGCAGCTCAAAACTATGGAAGTTGTAGGATTCAGGGCAGCAGATCCCACAATCCAGCACCTCTGCTGCAGCAACAGGGTACTGAAGGTCTGGTTTTACCAGATGCTTTTGCTACTCAGCCTGGCTGCACAGCTTCAGCAGAGATTCCATCTATTCACGTTTGCTAAGGAACAGCAAAAGAAATTTGTTCTTGAATACTGCTTTGTCAGGAGCAGGGGAAGGGCAGAGAAGAAGGGGAGGAAAAGATATAAATTGGCAGGCAGAGAAGTTTTCTGTGAAGTCTCTGAAATTACAGGCAGAAGTTGGATCAAACTGTGTCTACAATAGAGTTGTCTTTCTAATTTGGACAAATAACAGATGTACACATCCATCCTTCACCTGAACTGTAATTCTTCCAATTCTATTATTTCTCAAGCAGCAGCAACATGCACAATGCTACATAAACCATAAATCAAGCCTCTCTGTTTCAAAGAGATTCCAGCCTAGGACAGACAGAATTTCAAGAACAAAAGGAACATTTAAAAGACTTAACTTCAGAGGGAATTTTTTCCCCCAGGAGAAAGTAAGCATGGAAAACTTAAGTCTGAGATGGATGCAAATGGGGACAGTGCAGAATAAGACTGGGCTAAGTAATACAATTTTATTTTTATGTTGTCAGGACGCTGTGATTTCATATACCGTGTGCCCAGATGGCACTTTACGTGCATAGATTTGTAAGCCTCTCAATTAGCACTGGTAGTATAAAGCGGGCAGTTATTTAAAGTAACCCATACGGCTTCTTTCAGTGTAAAAATTCGAACTCCCCTGTACTGGACGGGCTTCCTGTTGAGCAATTCAGATGCCTATACAAACCCTCAAAAGGCTGTGGAGAAACAGGCAAGAGACACCACCTGGGAGGTGTCCACAGCCCCAACAACGACAGAGAAGCAGACCCCACTCCCGAGACAGGACACTGCTATCATACGTCGGGTGGATATGGTCCCTACGTAAGATTTCAATGGGAAGGGTCGCTTCCTAGATGTTGGAGAACATTACCCAGATTACTGCTGTCCTTTGAAGCCCAGCAGATGCAGTAGTGCTGCATTAGTTGTTCAAACAGTTCCTTTTCATCTAGGAATTCAAGTCCTTCTATCCTGTAGGAATAAAAGAAAAATTGTGATTCGAGCTGGAGTCTCAGTACAGTTATTAACATACTCTGCTTCACCCCATAGGAGTGAAAACTATGGCCAGTAAGGCAGCTACTTTTCCAGTAAATTAATACAGGGATTTGTCCATGATGAAGATATCACCACTGCTCCTAGGCCTTTGTTGTCAGTCTATGAAATAAGCAACCCGCAAGATGTTTTCAACTTCTCATCCCTGGAATTTCATGTTCCAGGATTACTCTGTGTAACTTCTCACAAATACCAGTATTTCTCTTCTAACCCCCTTTACTGCACGTACCTGGTCTTGCCAGATTTAAGTAGACACAACAGTACAGCCTAATGGAAGGAGATTTATCTTTATCAAAGGATTACAGCAAACAGTTGAAGATAGTATTTTCTCCAGACAATCACAAGTCCACATTATGCCTTGGAAGAGTGATGGGTACACCAGTGCAGCTTCTAACAACTCTCCCACATGAGCTCATGATGAAGCACAAACCAAATGGTACATGTAAGATCTGAGGATTTTTTTCCTAAAACGGTTCCTACTTAGGATTCTTAAAGCAAGATCTTTGAATGTCTTTCGCCAAACAAATGAGAGAACTCCTCCCAAGCTGTGCTTGCTGTAAAAAGTTTAACCTGGCACACTATTCTCTCTCACTCTAGATTACTTGAATATCAGTGTTTATTTGCCATGCTAAATATTTGGAAGGGCTGCTACTGAGGATCAAAAGAGGCAAAAGTTCCTAAATACACTCACAGATGTGTAAGTGCTGCAGAAGAACACTTTTGTAAAGATTTTTCTAAATAGAGAGCATTATTTACCTCACTGGTACTGAAGGACAGAGTTTATGTAACCTATTCCTTGGCATTTGGAACAAGTTGCAGGAGCTGAACAGATCTAAGGTAGTCAAAAATGCTGCAAAAAAAGTACAAGCTATGTCTCGCCACCAGTGCCATATGGTACAATCACAGTCATCGTTCCTATTTAAACAACCTATGATTTTCAGCCTCACCTGTTCAGTTCCACGGGTTGAGAAATCCCCATATGTGAATACTTCTTTTGACCAAGTTAACTTGTTCGACTAATTCAAACTGTAGTTAATGAATGCCTCACAGCAACTCACACTTCATATTATACACCTAAGTTACTCATTAAAAAACAGTTTCCCCTTTTTAGCTTTTCTTTAATGCAAAAAATGTAACAAAATCCATGCAGATTACTGACTGTTATAACAGCCTTTAGTTATAACCTGTGTGTACTAAGCTCTGTCTGCAGACCCAGCAGTGCAGCTCATGAACATGGTGTGAATGGAAGATGCATCAGTCTGTTGAGAAGCGTCAGACCACACTGTTGGGCACACCTCTCCCCTCTTTGCTTGCATACTACAATAGGTCATAGCACCAAATTACTGACCTGGTTCACTACCTAAACATGCTGCCAAGGAAGAATGGAGAGAACAGGACTGGCCATTTTCCACCTACTTGCAGTAAAAAAGCAAATGGATAAGTAATCTTACGTAGGCTTACAAGACTGGAGCAAACACCTGCACGTCACCTCCCTTGGGGACTTGAAAAGTGGCTGCCTGTTCTGAGTGTATTTTTGGATTCCACTCCACCCATCTAGTGTTGTGGAGGCTGGATGTTCACAAGAAACATCTTCAGTACTGTAAAAACTCAACACAGCATTTCTGTAGCATCTTTTATCTGCAAATTTCTGTCATCAGATGCTTTATATCGCACCTAAATACATCACCACCACTGCCAGTCTACTTCTGGCAGCAATAATCCTCTGGATCATTAATGTTGCTCCAGGCATTATCCTTAAGGCTCTGCAGAGCTTCAGACTCAGACACATTCTGTCTACCTAGCTAGCATCTGCACATGGCCTTCTCTCTGTTATACTGGGGGATCCCATACTATCTATTGATGTCAACTACCTTGGAAATAGCACCTGAAGATGACTTTTGGCTGCAAGCAAGCTATCAGTAATACCTTTTGACATCAGCTTGTGGCAAAAAGCTGTACACTTTCATCATATCAATGGCACGTGCAGTTTCCCAGCCATTTAACAGCAATCGTTCTCTCTGTAAAATAAACAAGCAGCACAGTTTTCAGACGACTGGAGGAAAAATACCAGAGAACAGTTTTTCCCCCTAAGGATTTCGTAGGCCATCTGCTTGACCTGTTCTTTGAAGAGCTCTTACACTCTTTTCCGAGCACCTGCTGCTAACCTCTGCACAGACAGGACAGTGGGAGAGGTGGAGCTGTGCTCTGATCTACCGCAGTTTTTCTACAACTACCAAAACTAAGTGATACCAGCAACCACGGCACTGCTAACAGGGAATCACAGTCACATGGACAGCAAAGGGTTTCAGTAGGCAGCAGCTGCCCACTCAAACCTGCTTTGGTCACTGCTCTGAGCCTTACAGTGCACACGCAGAGGCAGAACTTGCAGACAGATTCATTAAGTTCGATATCAAACACACCCAGAGCTCCATGCCCCTTTACCTGAGAGTCCAAGGATCTGCAAACTTCCACTCCAGCCAGGTTGCACTGTCGTCTCTGCAAGTTCTCAATCATGATCTGTCCAAACCGGTCCGTCATATTCACCTCAGGTAGAGAATGAGACAAAAGTGTTCCCCCTTCCGAAAAGAACGTAATCGCAGTGAAAAGCAGTAACTTGGTTAAACTCTTGAAGTGTCTGTGTCATAAAACGTACAGGATAACGTTAAAGTTTCACATATTCTTACACCAAGTCTCCTTTCCCACTGCCACAACCTCCTCAGCTACCTCACAAGCTGAGAGCCAGTTTAGTGGCGACAATGCTACTGCCTTTGCAGACACAGGGACGCTGAACCGGGCACTGGAAACTCATTCAAGTTGTCAGCAACTTGGTTCCGCTCCCAAGAGGTGACTTACAGCTTGGAAGATCCTGTTACTAATTCCTGGAGCCACCCAGTTTCCCTGAGGCAGCATTTACTTCCATACAGAGAAGCTAAGCTCGTGCTGATGAGATTTTTGCTCCACTTCACCGAAGAACACAGAGAGGCTATTATGTGATGTTATACACTCATATCCAACATTCAGCATCATTTCTTTTTCCTCTGTCTTACCTAAACCAATATTCTATGGTTTTCTCCACATATGGATTAAGTCTCAGTTCTTTTTGCTCAATATAGTCCAGCAATTGTCTTTCAGAACAGCTACATATTCTTCACAATGAGCTAACAGACCTACCAAATAAAACACGTCGCTAAAGAAATTCAGCAGAAAGTGCTGTCTATACAAAAGGATATGGCCCACTTATTTTACAAGCAGAACTCCCACCTCTGAGAGCAATTTTTACGACAATAATGCAGGTCTAAAAATGCCATTTTTGTTTTACCTGCTCGTAATTTATAAACATCGCCACTGGAAAAGTGCTTGCTGCCCACTTTAAAAGATCTGCAGATTGCTGTGGTGTCATGTAAACCAGTACACACTCCGCTACCAGAAGCGTTGGCAAACTTTAAAACAAACAAAAAAACAAACAAGAGAACTGTTTCTAGTAAAAGAACAAGAAAAATCCATAAAGAATTATTAGCAAGCAATTGCATGTCCCCAAAAATTCCTAAAAGACCTACCCTTTTTATGAATTAGACATTTAAGACTGAATGAAATCCCTTCATGAAGTTGACTAGAACTGGGTTTTCTGGCAGTCGACCGGGGACTCCCATGGTTACAAAACTGAGATATTGGGAAACAATCTGCCCTAAGTCAGCCATGCTATGAACACAGAAGAACGTGCAGTCTGTGAGTCTTCTCTGAACTGTGACAGCACGAACTGAAGTGCATAATAAAATTAATTTTGCATAAGACTTGTATCCTATATATACAATCCACACTGTTTTAAAGATTAGTAAAATTAGGAATAAAATGCAAACTGGAAAAAAAATGTTTTCTCTTTAACAACGTTCTAAGAAGAATTTTAATTAGACAAATTTGTTCAATATCTGTAAAATATGCTTCACATATTGTCATTTAACAACATGAAATCTATAGCTTGCACGTTGCCTCTTCCCCCTCCATCCACAAAAACCCAAGAACAGTCATCTGCACGGGTAACTTTCCTTAAAATTATGGAGTTTTCTTTTAATTGCTAGAATGAACAGGAAAAAGAAAAGTCACTAGAAGCAGGAGAAATTCCACAAGGAGCAGCGATGTAGGCAAGCAAGGCAAGATTTCAGAAGATGGAAGTGTAAAGATTTAAATGCCAATTTGATGCATTCTGCTTACCCATATGCTCTCTCCCACCCAGCCAGATAGCCGCTATTTATACATCTTATATTTGAAAGGTATGTCCATCATCCACTCTAAAAACTTAAATCCTGCCCCCTCCAGAAGCCTAACACTTGAACAATAAAATGCCAGATATTAGCTTCCAGAGCTAAGTTCTCCAAGGACTCCACGGCAATCATTTTATGAAAAGGTCTAAGGAACAATAGGGGTTTTAAGTGGAGGCTATAGAAAATAATTACAAAGATAAAACGCTGAAATAATTTAACGTTGACAGAATTATTCTTCATTTTAGCAGCTAAGCTCCCAGAAATCTTGACTCATACAGTCATTACAAGAGGAGTGGAAGATGCTCACTGATCTAGGTACTGCCCATCAGTCAGCATTAAAACTAAAAGCAATTGAACCCACTCTTAAAAAAGCAATTTATGACATTTTGATACATGTCTAGTTTAGAGATTCCCCTTGAATAACTGATGATTCTATTCAATAAATTCCAAGCAAATTCAAGCAAGGGGTAATCAAGAGATTTCTAGAAGAGTCAAATTCGTGAAGTAGAGAAAGAAAACTGGTATCAGCTCTGAGGCAGAAAATGGGGCGGACTCGTCCCCTCCAGGGCAAGGGACGGGGAAGGCGAGAAGGAATTACAGCTGCCTGCTCTGCGACAAGAGCTCTGACTTGTGCCAAGGCATCTATACCCCAAAGAGAACCACCCACCAGGAACACATTAACAGAAAGCCAGACTTCCTTCCCCCCAGCATCTTAAGGACAAGAAGCAAATACTTCTGTGATGTTTGATCTTCTCGGGAAGGACGAAAAGGCCGTTTGCAGAACAGACTACCCGAGGAACAACCTGGCTTCAGAGGTAATGCCAGGCTGCTCGGCTCAGTGAGGCTGCATGAGGTGTCTGAACAATTCCTTCTGCAAAAGGGCTCAGAAAAAGGTAACCATGGAAATAGCATAATGAGCACTGGATGCAGATACTGTATGCCCAAGCCTGACTTTACTCTCACCAGTAACTTTCCACAAGCCCTCATCAAAAAAATAATTAAAAAAAAATAATCTTACTGTATATCCAGGTTATGTTTCTTTAGCTTTTCCTCCAGATCTGATGAGAAACGGAGATCTGCTCCTACTATGGAATATCGACTGGAGTCTAGGCTGTGAGAATCTGCAAGTTTAAAATTTTGAGACTAATGGTTACAAATAAGAGAGATATTGAAATTATAAACTTTTTTTAAAAAAACATATATACATAACATACGAATTTTAAGTCAAAGTTTGTTCTGTTATACCTAACAATTAACAGCAAACTCTTCTTTTTAAAACATTCATTTCCCTTAGACCTGGTTGTTGTGGTTTACAGGGTGATATATTAGCATCAGACACTGCAATAAGCCTAATCTTTCACTCCACAGCCACTATAATGCAGACAGGCTAGCCCATCTGTTACCATGGTTTCAAGGAATGCAGAGAGAAGAAAAAAACGTGAAGATTAAAGGCAGGGTTCTTCTCTTTTGTTTGTAGAGTCTTTTTAGATGACCCAACCTATGTCCATAACAAAGTACACAAAAAGACCCCAAACATCAATTTCTGAAAAACTAATTTAACAGTAACAATGTTCCAAATATTAACAATAGATACAGCTATATAAACTAATAAAACATATAACTATATCATATATGAGTATCAGATGCAGATTTGGGGGGCAAAAAAAGTTACCGTTTAGCCTTTTCATATGACCTGGTAATGGTATTTAAACATGGAGTCAAATTAGAAGAGGTATTCTGAGAAGCAAATACTCATTCTGGGATACAACAGGCAACAAGCTCCTGCATGTGCTTTCCAACACGAAGGAGGAACTAATAGTGAAGTCAGAAGACACTCTGCCATACCAGCAGACCTGTAAGGACACCAGCAGCAACATGAGCATCTTGCTGTCAATAATTCTGACAACCAGTTGCAATCAATTCTACCAGATGAGCCCAGGCCCCACAGAAAGCATCTCCCAAGGGCCATATCAAACCCACCTGCAGAGGTGAAGTTCTGCAGGAACGTATCAGATTGCTCTTTCACACCGCAGCTCGACTCGAGCGAAGGCATTAGGACAGAATAGCACAGAATTTTCCCTTCTTACCACACGAGTGTGACAGAGCAGGCAGTAAAATAAGCTAAGCAGTGAAAAAGCCCCGAGTGAGAGTTTGAAGTGGTGGTGTAACGGCCAGTCGGTATCTGGCCATTTTGAATCCTGCTGCAGACAGACACAGCTCCTGGAACGGTAGCACGGGAGCAGATGTCAAGAGCTGGGTGAAGAGAGAAGAAGAAGCCAAGTGGCTAAGGAGACAGGATGAAAAGGGTTTTCCATTTCAGGAGAGGGGAAAAAAAAAAAATGGGGGGAGGTGGGGAAAGGCAATTTATTAAATTAACCAGTGCTTCAAACATTCTGGAAGATGTACCTCTGCTTAGTTTTCAAGTGACCAACTGTTTGAAAACGGCACTATCAAGTGACAATAGCTGTCTTTCCAGAAACCAGAACAGTTCATGCAGAGAGTTACAAGGAAAAAAAGAACAAAAAAAAAAGTTGTGCAGCAAATGATTCAACATTTTGAGTCAAGGCTTTTTTCCATGTGCATGTTCTGTAATAGCTTTACTACTTCCCACATCCTTCTATTTAAGTTATTATATCAAGGCCATGATAATGGCATCCAAAAAAGCCACACAAAACACCCCACCACACACAAGAAGGTATTTCGATGGTGACTGGTTTGCTGCCCAGAGATGCAGCACAGTCAGCATCAGTCACCACAATTAGTGTGAAGTGAATCTCGTCTTCTTGTCCACGTTCATTGACTTGGACATCATGGTGTGTTAATTGTAACAGAAATAAACTACAAAACTTTTAAGTGATCTAGTAATGGGAGTAGTACACACACTTCAGAGGTGGAAGTGAATGTCTCCTGCTCACATCATGTTGATTCAAGCATTTTTATCACTGAAGAGCAGGAAAGAGCAAAACCCCTCAAACTTTAGATTAGAAAACCGTCCTTCAAAACGGTTCCAATTTCAGCAGCCAAAATTACTAACGTTGTTTTTAATAAGCCTGGATACACATGAACAAACCCCACAGAATTTCTGTTATGCCTTGACATGGTGGGAGAGGGGATGGCCAAAGGAAGCACCTGGGCGATCCTCAGGGCAGCCCAGCCCAGCTGGTTTTGGAGATGTGGGCTGTGGACAACTGAAAATCAACAGCCACGTGGCCACACAGCCTGGTGAGGCCAAGTTATCTCCTGGAAAACCACCTCAAACACCAATCTAGAAGGTTTCTTTAAGGGTGCTTTGGCTCAGTGGAAATACTCTTTAAACCTTAAAGCCAAGTACACTTAATGCCTTAATACAGGACTTTGCAACAGAAACTTTTCAGAGGCCAAGGAAGCTGGTGAGGAATGGATTGTCTTCCTCTCTTCAAAAGCCTTCCACTCCAAACACAACCGCTTTACTTCCATTTCCAGTACCCAGGCTGCCTGCTTCTCCTTCTGTGGTCCATTCAAACAGAATGTACTTGTTCCTCCACACATTTCCCTGCCAATTTCCCTCCACTCCCCATTGATGGCTGTTGGCAAACAACCACAGACAGTACCAAGGCAGAGCTGCACACACGTTATACACAAGCTGATACAATTGCTGAAAATTGTACATTTTAACCCTATCTGAGAGCACCTCATTAAATATCTCCATGATTCATATATTTCAACATTTATCATCAATACTCTTATCTTGAAGGAAACCTTAGGGAAAAACATGAAATTCACACTAGTCAATTTTGAAATGCAAAGAGAGGCAAAAGGAAAAAAAAAAACAAAAGAGGAAAGAGTTTAAGCTAAGCCTCTTCTAAACTTCCTTGTAAGACTGTCTGCTAGCTTCCACCTTTGGCCTATTTGTGGCATCAAAAAATCCTTTTATATATAAATTCAAAGGGATGAAGAGATCATACTTAGCTAGGCAAACAACTCCAAGGTTTCAAAATCAGCCTGACAACTGCTCCATCACTTCACACTTAGGCAGCAGACACTCACTCATCGCGAGGCAATGGCAGCTGATGACAGCTGGAATTGCCATTTTTCCCAGCCTGGAGGCTAAAAAGTCGAAGTATGGCCATAAACACCCCAGAAAATAATGTGCTGCTAGTTCATGGTCTGGCACCAATTTCTACTTTATTGCAGAGTTTGATGCTCTAAGTATGAAGATTTGCAAATATACTGCCACCCTGACTGAGCAGCGTCGGTGCCAATGTACTTCCACCACCTGCCTATCTACAGGGCAGCTGATGGAGAAAAAGCAAGTTCCAGCTTGGTAGCACAGTCACACGCTCTCCATTGACTTCTTCTTAGGAACAAAAAGCTTCTTTTAACTGAATCATTTTTTGGTATTAAAAAACCCTACTTTTTTTTTTTTCTTACTGCAATCCCACTCTTCTGAAGGTGTCTGCCCCAGTGAGCTCCCCACAGCCAAGAGCCCTGCACACCCCATCGGATCTCCACCGCTGCCAGGAGCCCTGCTGCCTTCTCTCCTGGCTGGGCCAGAGAACACCACCCACACTGCCCTACCACACAAGGCAGTGGCAGCTTTCAAATAAAGAGGGCCACTTTTTTGTGACTCATGCCAACTGCCCTAGTGCTGGCATAGCCAGCAGCATTTGGTGGCTTAACCCACCGAAAATGAAATCCCATATTCCAAGCGCTAATTCCTACCCAAGGGCCAATACTTCACGTTGGTTTTTAGCAAAGCTGTTTGGTCACGATGTTCTTTTCTAGAGCACGGGGCTGCCTGATGGTTTTCCGTGTGATGCTCACACTCAGCACGCTCAGTTACGTACAAAGTTTCTCTCCTGTACTTGTCTGGAACGAAAGTTTGAGAAATACCAGATTCAGATTTCGTTTGAGAAATACAAGGGAGGGGAGAGTGAAGGAGAGAAAGAAAACAAGCCCCATCACTCCATCCCACCCCACCTACCCAAGGCAGGCTCCCTCAGCCCAGGTGTACACCTCTGTTACCCACGCACAAAGCAATGGAGAACGTTTTACTCCGATCATACCACTTGTACGTACGTTTTCCATGACTTTTGGCACAGAAGTAACAATTCCAGTGGTTCAAATCAGACATTAACACAGTAACGGAATAGCAGCAGGAGTTGCTCATAAGTGCCTTTTGACCTCACTGCAATATTTTTTTCTTTACAGAAACGTGCTACCAGCAAGTAAACGCCCTGGTTTACGGTGGCCCCCGGCACTTGCCCGCTGCCTTCATTCGTCTGCGGAAGCAGCACTGCAGGACCACGGGCGCACCAAGTGCAGTGTCTCCTCTGCTAGAAGAGTTCAGTTTTCTTTTCTTACTCTCTTCTCAGATTAGTGAAACAATTTCCTGGAGGTTTTCCAAGAGACAGCATGCAGGATACTATCGACTCAAACTGATTTCATTAGGATTTCCATCCTAAGGTATCTTTGGCAGCTTTACAACCAACCAGCCCATACAAACTATTCTGGAGGCTCACAGGCACGACAGAGCATGGGTCTCATGCAGGATGTTTGTGAACTACAACATCAGAACAGGGTTAGGCCTCACAAAGAAATTTAGTTTGTCTTGCAAGTGCAGGATCACCCCCAAGGCAAGGCACACAAGTCACCCAGATGGCAACACGCTTGATGTTTGCACTGAGTCACAAGCAAGTTTGGAAACGCAGGGAAAAGGAAGTTAAAGCAATCAACTCCCAAAGCTCAACTAGACAGGGGCAGGAAGTCTATGAGTGGCACTGAAAGGTAACGGTTTATTTAAAAGTGTAATTTGCACTTGCAAGGTGGCAAAGGTGGAGTGCCAACTTCCCAACACTGACAACTGCATCATAAACCAGACAGTGCCATGGAACTTGGAGAACAATTTAACCTGATACTGCTGCAGCAATGTCAAATTACTGCACAAATTCACTGCTTTCCCCTGGAGATCTGACGTTCCCTGGCAAACCACAAAGCTGTTCAATGATGAGTGTCATCTTGCTGCATGCAAGGGCAGAGGCCACAAATATCTATACTTGAATTGCAAGCTATTCTGGCATTGCTTTATCTAAAGGGCAAGGAGAAAGCAGGTGTTGCCCTGAAGCCCATCGAGTTGTCTATTAGCGCTAGTTTCATGAAACGAAAACATTTCATGTGAAAAGAAAAGCAGTAAGAGAACGAGAGTCATGTCAATCGATATTACAACAACTCAGAAATCAAATTCCAAAGCATCTAAACAAATTATTCCTGGCATATATGAGACGGCAGGGGGGGACTGATTTGGGGAGGACAGGATAGGACAACCTCCCTTCCCGAGATGCTAAAATCCTGGTCCATATCTCCACCCTAAAAACCACAAAAATGAGTAACATTTCCCTACCTGGAAACGCTGCTTCATTATGCCCCACTACGCTCCCTATGACACGTGGTATTCCCAGAACATTGCATCAGTCTAACGGCTGTATTGGGCAGACCAAAGGTCCCCCTGGTAGGGTATCCTGCCTCTCTCAGATGCCAACAGCAGCTACCTAGGGAAAAGACAAAAAGAGGGCAAATACGTACCACTAATACTGGCACCTATGTTGTTTTCTATCTTTTTTCTAAGAATTCTTAAATTTGATTTGGATTTCTGGACCGTTACTGAGCCAGTTTTTTCATACATCTATGCATTATAATACCCAGATCTTGTTTGCAGGCAGCACCCATCAGCCAGCAGCCTACCATTCACGTGTGAGGCACAAACTACTTTTCCCACCCATGTGCGTCACTTTCTCCTAATCTGCATCAAATTTATCACCAAGTCACTAATTTCACAAGATTCTTCTACAGTTCTTTACCACTCTGAAGAGTCTGGACTTGCCAACAAGCTGCCACTTACTAGTCACTCTATTTTCCCAATCATTTCTTAGTGTTGAACAACAACATATCCTTGAGCACACAACTCCATCTCGCTCCGTAGCAAAAATGAACAACATATGCCTACCATCCGTCCCCAGCTCTTTATCCATGAGAACCATTCCTTTCCCCCACAACCACCACACAGTTTCTTGGGCACACTTCGGAAAGGGACACTCTCAAAACACATTTTTTAAATTCGATACTTTTTAAAAATGTCCTTTTCCAACACGTCGGTTGGCTTCTACGGAGAACTCCAACAGGTTTGAGAGGCATAACTTACCTTTCCAAAAGCCATGTTGGCTCTCTCTCAACACATTCTATTATTCCTGTGTTCCACTAAGTCTGTCTGTTAGAGTTTCTACTAATTTGTCCAGTAGAGACACCAGTCCTACTGGCTTGTAGTTCCCTGGATTTCTCCCGGAGCCCATTTGAGTCACAGCCACCTTCCAGTTCTCAGGTACTAAGACAGTTTTAAAACGAGAGGGTATACACCAGTTAGTAGCTGAGCGAATTCCTTGCCAAGTTCCTTTAGATCTGTAAGAAATCTCCATTCATCTGACTGCTTGATTTGTCTATTTAGTCCACACCCTCTCCTGGTGGCACTTCCACATGCAGCAGTCCCATTGATATGTCCTTAAGTGAGAGTTCCCACACGGATTTCACATGAACTGACCGTGGTTATTGAGTGCCAGTTAAAACTGAGATTGCACAACAGACTTCCAGCATCTCCAAGTGTACCTGGACACCACGCTACACCCCACAGATCCCAGTGTAGTAGGGCCTACATCAGCCTGGTTACTGTAACAGTGCTACTCGAAGGTATTTAAAACCCAGCACTGAGAAAGCACGAGAGAAACAGCTTTAGAGAAATAAGCCACTCCAATACATCCAAACAGTGACACTTTAATTGCTGTTGACTGCTGTGACTTGCTAATTAGTAGCTTTTGATTACAATACACCACTGCAATTTGATAGTTTGGCAGTTGTTTTGCTGTACTAGACGTATCTAGAGCTGTTCAGTAACACAAACACTACGAAATCCTTCCCATCGACCTGGTGTGAATGCCTTAACAGTGCTTACCCAGCACATGTCACTGTGTACAAGTTACGTTACACGAAGGTCTCCTAGCTGAAACACAGCAGTACTCAAGAGCCCTTTTCCTGAGATGGGGCACTGGGCCTTCATCCTTTGCAACCTGAATGTACAATGGAGAATCCTGCCATTCAAATGACATCTAAAAGGTTGGCAAGTTAAGACCCTATAACATGGAGAAATAAAACGTGCCTAATATGCACAAATACGCACAGTCAAATCAGCGTGTGGCAGTACTCTGATCCAAGTTAGAGCATCAGAAGAGCCTTGGGGTAAAGCACCTACACCTTGCCCCCGGCAGCACAAGCACACCTCCTCACGCTCTGTACCCTTCCTCACCCTCTGGAGGGCCCGTTCAAGCCCTCCAGACCCTTAGGTGGAATTGTGCTCGTTAAAAGCACCTATAGATGTAACAGAAAACACTGCTAGCTCGGGTTTAGGGTCACAACTGCTAACACAAGCGAGTTGGTATTAGAGGCAGGTAACTGCTTTTCCTCCTAAAGGGCCCAAAGCAGCTACTATAGCACAGTGTCTGCTACTCAGGCACTGAAAACATCACTCACCAGAACCCAGGGTTTTTTTCCCCAAGCAGAGAGGTTTCCAAATTAGAATCCTGACACCAGCATAATGAGGCTATAAGCCAAGACAGTACAACCACACCACACCACCTGGATCTAATATCCTCTTAATACTGAAATGTAACAAACAGCACTGGCTCCTGACAACAGACTTCGCAGGACGCATTTTTTCCGTGAAGACTCTGCTAAATGTAAAGGCTTGCCCTCTTCATGAGGCAGAAAGAAGATAGAGGAAAACACTCAACAGGTATTTTAATCCAGTATACATGACTACCAGTAGCATTTTTCCTCTTCTGCGACAGAAAAGAAAGCATAACTTAAGCTACATACAAGAGAAAAAGAAAAAAACTCAACAACTTTCTGGCAGAATAAAACTACTTCAAGGGAAGACATTTCTAACATGACACAGAACAAATGGGCAGGAGTCTGTAAGAGAAGAAAAAAGCCTCTTCTCCCTCCCAATTCTCTGTCCAAACAGCATTTCAAATATTAAAAGCCTGCCCACATAGCAGAACAAAATGATCAGAAAAGTTTTAAAAGTGCTGCAGTACAGTGCTGACTTATTTTTAAGATGACTCACCTATTAGAAGAGAGTCCCCTGAATGGGATTCCATAATTGGTTTTGACAGGGGAGGCTTTGATCTGTGGGAAGAAGGAAGAAGCATCTCTGAGCAGTTCAACTTGTTTAACAGTGTGCTTACAATTTTTTTTTTTTTTAACATATATATGTGTATGTGTTGAAAACCGATAAGAGAATACCTCTGCCCTCTACTGGAAATAAAAACGTTTGCAAGTTAAGACTCGGTAATAAGTTGCAGTCGAGTTTTATACCCAATAAGTCTTAAGCTTTGAAGCAACCTCTCAAGAGCAATCCAGACACTCTCTTCGAGTACCCTCCATACATCCTAAATGTATTCATTCAAACAGAACACTCCTATATAGTGCCAGCTACCCTACCTCTCTAACCGAGCATGCAGGTCTGGGAATTTGCTGCTGTCTTCGATAGTAGGAGAAGATTTAACAGCCTTTAATCATCATGAGGCTTCCCTTGCCCATTATATTTTACATAATTAAGAATAAAGTCTGCTTGCCTCCCTAAAGCTTCCACATATCAGCTTCTTCGGTTTGGAATAGTGGCTGCAGAGTCACAGGTACGACTTGCCTGCATAATGAAACCTTTATTCTGCATCCCAGAGCATGAAGAGCTTCTCAGAAGAGAGATGAAATAATTGCAGCTTGCAATTCATGACATTTTGCTGAATTACATTCAGTTTCACATAGCTAAACATAGGTGTTACACTTACTTGATATTATGTATTTTTCTTGCAACTATCATTGGAAAATCCACTTCAAAATATTTTCTAGGGAGAAGATTTTCATCCTGAGAATTGGAGTAAGACTCTACAATTAGGGACATTGAAGTTTCACATGCACATGACAAAAAGATACAACCTTAAGTCCCAAACAGCTTTGGTTTAGTTTACACTGGCATTTGTAACAGTAGTGTAACTTAATGTCCCACAGCTTAAAAAACCAAAACAAAACAAGCTGAGAGACATTAGACATTCCTCTGAGCATTAAGGAAATTATTTAGCATTTCATTTAGACAGCAAGTCACTGAAACACGTGTTCCTACAATATATTACCAGTATCTAGAAGAGCACAGAAACAGAAAACTGTCTTCGGTCTATTCTTCTAAGAAAGGAATCGGGAACATTTTGCACAGGTTTACCCAGAAAGCAACCACATTCCACAATTTGTCCTCAAACCCATGGCCACACTACAAGTGCGTCAGTATTCCTCTACTACGAAAATGGGGAAAACCTCCTCATTTCAGGTTGTCCCTATCTGGCACCCTGATAAATAAGCTGCACCAAGTTTCTCCCTGTGGAGCAATCCTTTTGTGATGGATACGTGCTGCCAGTTCCAGCTTGTCAGCCTCCCGAATTTCTCAACAGTAGATTAAATCAGTAGTCAGAACACTGAAGGGCTTGGTTAACTGAGTCCCACCACCTGTTTTAATTACACCACACCTGCTCCTTATGAGGAGGAAGAATTGGAATTACAGGCCCCGCTTTAGCTTTTAAAATCCCTGTTACAGGAAAGTTAATAAAAGTGTGTATTGACATAGATTCCATAGGAATGCAGGCAGGCAAAAAGCTTCGCATCTCTGAAAAAAGTCATTATTTTTCCTCTTCCACCAACTGAAATACAATGAACTGTGACAAGCATGACGCGATTGGCTCCTTAGGCTTTCTTCTAGAAGTCAAATTTACAAACGTAAATGCTGATGAGAAGACAAGATGGTTTAGAGCTGGGTTCTCTCTGAATAATACCATCATGTAATATCTGAATAATTTCAAGTTTTGTGAATTACATACATGCATATAAACAGACATACATATTTTTATATACAAACTCGCATTTATATAAATAATTTAGAAACATGCAAACAAAGCCTGCACAACCCTGTACTTTATCTTGTTCCTGTTTTAACACAGGGTAAAAAAATGAAATTTTCAGGCTTAAGGAGGCCAGCAAAACGTGGAGTTCACACTCCAGTCCTGAAAGCCCACTAGAGGTCAGCTTCGTGTCACACTTTTTGGTAAAAACCCGCAGCCTCTCCCCCGTCCCGAGGTTTAAAGCTGCCAAAACCAATTCTAAGCAAGCTGAGAAGCGAGGCAGGGCAGCACTCAGCCTCGCTGCACAGCTCCACGTTGTGCCACAGAAGGCAGCACCAACACGCCCTGGCACAAGAGCACTTCCAACGCCCTTACCTTCAACCTCCAGAACAGGGTGTCCATGCCAGCACCAAGATTCACGATTTGGCAGTTGCATCCTGTCTTCTTCAGGAAGGCTGTAATCAGATAACTGACTCCGTGAACACGAGCGTAATAGCCTGTTAACAACAACAACAAAAGGTTATTTTTCATTATTGTTTTCACACAATACTTGATGTTTAACACTCAATAAGGTTTTTAGGTAGCTTCGCAAACTTAGTTTGCAAAAATTTTTAAACTCTGTTTGAAAAGTGGTGTTTCTTAGGAAGAATAATGCACTCTTTTTAAGATACCTAAGGGGTTTTGGGAATTTTTTTATTACTAACAAAATCTGAGGCACTGATAAAGCAGGATTCCTTGGGTAAATAAAAGTTGTAGTCAGGTTTCACCTCCAACTGAGCAGAACAATTCTAGCTGGTGTGCACACTTTTGCAGAGAGCAGAGGTGATACATCCTGCTGTCCTGGGTCAAATCCACATTTCTGATTGCTCTGTCGAGATTACGGCATGCTGAAGCACATGGACACATTCCATTCAGAATACAGAAAGCAAGGGGTAAGAGTTCTGATGTGAAGAGTAATATTTAAAAGATCAGACACAGTATGGAACTATTACCATGAAGAAAACTTGTCTGATTCTTTTACTCATTTCCTCCAGTCCATAATACCCAGTATACACAGGTTTTGTCAGGTGTTCCTCAAGACCAATTAAGAACACATTAGCACTGTCTCTATTCAGATTTATGTGCCAACTTGCCTCTGTTGATTTCAGGTGCTTTTCTCTCTTTGGCTTGTCTCACAAAATACTGGATGTAAGGGTCCTTCCAGTAGCCAACACTTACAGCAAACCTGCCCAGTGGAGGAAAAAAAAAGAGAATTATAAAATAAAACTACCAAGATTTACTCTAAAAGATACACAGGCTGAAAGGGTCAGTCTCTGACCTGGGTGTGTACATGCAGCCAAGGTTTAAAAACCCTGCTGAATGCATGGAACTGTGTCAATTAAGGAGTTATATAAAATCTAGTAAAGAACGCTGCCTCTTGCCATATTAAACATGGACCTTTTTAATGGTCTCTGCACTGTTTGATGGACTTCTGCAAGGGAAGACCCTAATCTCGAATCTTTCCTCCTCAAGGACCCAGCAACCAGAGGAATTGTCTGTGTAAAGTTCCTCAGACTGCACACAAAGCACGCCTTACTTCCAGACATCCTTATGCTCCGAGCTATTTGCACTTATTCCAGAGCTTCTGCACATCACTTTAACACTGACAGCAGTGCTGCTCTGTTCTAATAGCACTTACCAGTTTCACAACTGATTTGGAAAAGGTAAACCCTCAAAACCAAACCCAACCACCCAACAATTTGCTGCTACACGAATAACACAGGAGAGAACAAAAAGCCAACAATCACAGAAGTTAAACTCATGCCCATGGGCAGCAAAACTCAGCACCCACCCTCCAGAGGGTGTGAAGTAAAGAATTCTGAACAATATTAAGAAGTTTTTTTTTCTGAGATATGGAGCATCACTGAAATTTCTGATTCCCACTACCAGGCAGGATAATTCTAGCTATCACTGTAAGCTGTCCTGTAAAGCTGGAAATTGGGCAGGGGTTAATCAGGAGCAGGAAAGCTGATGGCAGA